GAGTTATTTCTGCTGCTGTGTCCCATTTAGGTCCAACCGTGTGAATTACTCGATCACATGGTAACATTCCTGCCGGGGTAACAAATGTTCGACCTTCTAGGAGTAGGCCGTGCTTTTCGATAAACCTCTTGCAATGATCCTGGATCTCTGTTCCACCCACTTTAACTATGGCTGCGGCGAGACCTCCAATGTGTTTTAACTCTTCGTTAGCCGGATTTACTATAGCATCTACACGATGTTTCGTTATGTCACCTTTGAAGACAGAAATCTTCTTCCTCTCTACAGTGAGGTAGCTGCATATGAATCCTCCAGTTGATGACTCCATTTCTTTTACACCTGCTTCATCTGTTGGAGATGCTGTGTTCCAATTTCGCTCACTTGTGATGATGATACAGTTATTGTTGTCTTCTATTGTCTTCAGAGATTTGGGCCCTTTACCCTGAGAAAAGAACTTTGTCATCCCTGGCTTGTCAATTGGAACAGAGACTTTCTGAATATTTTTTGTTAGATCAACAAGTCTTGGAAGGCATTTATCAATCCCTTCAGTGGTACCAGAAATGTCTATGCCTCTACAGCTGGAGGACATTCTCACATCAATAGAACAAGAGGCGAGATCTCTTTTAATTTTTTCAATCTCTGAGCTCAGTCTTTCGAAGACAAACCGTGTAGACCCATGATCCAACGGGACGGTATCACGTAGAATGGTGTTCTTTTGTAAGAAGTCTATAACTTGATCATAGCATTGCTTTACGTCCTTCGCAATTCCGCTTACCCAAACGGTGTTTGATGGGATTTGGACGAGAATGTCAACTTTAAACTTGGAAGTCAATGATGTTTGGAAATCTTTCCATGGGCGACTGTCCAGCACTTGAGCATTCTCTTTAGTTAGGCGGATGCTATTTTCCTGGATAGCACCCAGCAAAACTTTTTCTGCTTCTTTTGCGTTATGTGAGTCAGCGCTGACAACTTGAACTTCATTTGAACTGCTGCATTGATCGCGCACAAAAATCGCTTGTACGCCACTCTGTTTTAAGAGATCTTGGATGACACTTGACACCGATGGCATTTTCAAAACTCTTGTAATGTTCGTCGGAAGTTCGATGGTCTTTTCAATCATCTTTGACATAAATGTAAATAGTTCAGCTTGCACCTCGTTAAGAAGGTTTCTGGGACCATCCAAACACAGCGTTTCGTTGTCTAGATCGATAGATATATTCAATTGTTGCTGCTCTCTTTGAAGCTTTTGGCAAATGCCGGTCATTTCCAGCAAACGCAGTCGAGACCTTGGAATGCCCTCTCTGATCACTTTGACTTTTGAATTCATAAGTTCCGCGTCTTCTTCGACGGCAAGGATTAAGTCCTGCAGTTTGCGCACATCTTCATTCACGCGGTCCTCCTTGCCAAGAATCTGGACTAATAGGTCATGTCTACTGAAATTTATAACATCAGTGGAGGACTCTTTTCTGGGACGATCCTTCTGCCACCGCTCTGATACTTCATCAAACAGTTCAGGAGAAAGTGGAATTTCGATTTTCCTGAAGCTCAGTAAAAAGTTTTCCAAACTTCCAGGCCTGTCTTGCCATGACTTTTGAGAGATCTTTATTTTATCAGACGGCGAAATGATGAGAAAAGATTTGTTTACATCCATGAACAGTTCGACTTTGTTTTCGTTGGTTAGTATTTGGAGCTCATGTCCATGATTCCTTTTAATGTGCTCAAAGAGATGGGCATCAAACGGTATTTCCTTTTTGTTGGTGACTGCATTCTCAAGGAAATGATAAAATGGCTGTACTTCTAGTTCAATTCCTTCAAGGGTGTGTTTCCTTTGGAGGACGTTATGAACGCCTGTAATTAAATGACACAGAAGTGACTTCAGGGGGAATCATTTATTTTGATAAAACTTTTCATGTTGTGCCTGCAATGCATCAATAACCATGTTTATTACATCTCTCGGACACTAAACTTTTAAGGCAATGAAAGAAACGTCATCTGTAGTTGATTCGTGTTTTGCCTTCTGAAGGTGTTGTTTGA